ACTTATGCCTCAGTGTAAGTCACTAGTTATTGCAAAGCAAGTATTATATTATCCTATTTAATTGAATATAACTTAAGAGTTACCAGTTCTCCTCAGAAAAGTGGCATAGGAGGGGGTATAAATGCAAATTTTTAGACATAAAAATTGTTGTCATATTCTAATTCATCCAAAAGGACAATAAATTCTGACACCTATCACACAGTACTCAAGATGCAATGCATTATCATTTTTTTTATCTTTATTCTGAATTTTAACTGGAGGAAAAATGAAAGGATACAGGGGGTGGGGGCAAATAAGGAAAATACTTCAGTTTATTACTGAAGAGAACTGCAAAGCCAGAAAACAATGTGCTCCTTAAATATATAGAACAAAGAAGTATAAACATTCACTTGTATTTAAAAATTATTACGTGGAAAAAACAGATAAACATGATTATGTGTTTTAAAAAAAGTAATAGTTCCTGGTAGCTCCTAAATAAGGAAGGTTCTATCTTTAAATTGATTTTTTTAAACCTACATTGTAAAGGTATATTATTGGGTTAGTGAATAATGAAATCAAGTAGAGATAAGTGTGCATTTTTTTTCTTTTAGAAAAAAATAAATCAAGTTGAATGGAGTTTCCTTGGCTTGACATTGGTAGAAGTAAAATTATCTCAGTACGGAGGTTGATCTAAACTGAATATGAGTAAGTATGAAAATAACAATGTAAAAAAACCAAGTATATTTATTCTATGGTGGTAAGACCTTACTTTAAATTCATTATCCAGTTTGGAGCATGATACTCCTTTTTTCAATTAACTGAAGTGCCCCTTTCAGAGAAAGACAGGCAAAAAATATTATTAAAAAACTGATGTCTATGGGGGAAAACTATATGGATATATTTCAGTTTAAGAAGATCCCAGCTAAATTAGGATTTCTCTCTGCAGACAGTAGAATTAAATGCATCATGCTTGCAAAAAGCCAATGTCATCTGAATTATCTTATAAAAGACACAAATTAATCACATGATGAACATTCTGAATAAGCCTTAAATGTACACAGAAAGACTTGAATGTGCAACAACTGCAGTTTTCAGGCATCCCAACAGTTATCCCGCAAGAGATAAAACAACATCTCTATTATGTTCCACAATGCAAGACAAACTGGTATTAAGTTAGAGCAAGACATTCTGGTTGAACGTCTAAAAAAAGCTAGAAAAGAAAAGCTGAAAAAAAAGTAGTTCGAAAACAAAATCCAGATAAAAGATACATTCTCCATCTCTCATGCTGTTCAAAAAAATGTTGAATGGCCATCTGTGGCTAAATGCCTTAATTCAAATTACTGGCATAAGCAGGGGACTGTATTCTGTAGCCTTACTAACCCTTCCAACTTTATGATTGTCTGCCAGAATGAATTTCCTTTATCAATTCATGGAGATCAGCCTTATCTCCACAAAATAGCATTCCAATGTATTAGTCTCCAATGAAATAAGAGGGATATTAATTAACTGATTCTATCTGGTTTACATGAATCAACCATTCTTTTTTAACTTGATAGTGCTGGATCATGACCAGCAGCTAGCTGAGGTATTTTTTAGGGTTTTTATTCCACCTTTATTATTTTTATGTATAACTCAAGACAGTGAACATACCTAATATGTCCTCCTCCTTCTATTTTCCCTACAATAACAACCCTGTGATATGGGTTGAGCTGAAAGAGTGACTGGCCCATGAGCACCTAGCTGACTTTCATCCCTAAAGTAGGATTAAAATTGTTTCTGGTTTCTAGACTGGTGCCTTAATTGGCTCAAACTGGCTCTTTAATCACATGATAGTTATGCCACGTCTGCATGCCTTACAGCCACCTCAGCCCTCAAATATCCTAAGCCCTCATCCCTAAAGAAGAGTGAGAGAACCATAGTGGTCCTATTTCTACCACCTCCAATTCTGGTCTTGGGAAGCCATTAATTGCCGTGGGAGACCTAGTTCAGTAGAGGGAAGGAAAGGACTCAGTTATAAGAAAAATAGGTTTTTACATCGATTCTGTTGCTAGGCAGATTAGATTACTGTTTTGATGAGGAAAAAGAAGGTAAATTCATGATAACCAATGTATTGAAACTTCTTTTGAGGATTTTTGCTCAACCATCAGCAAGGAGGAGAAATTTAGCATGCCATGGGAATCAAGTTATTGTCTGCATGTGTATAACACATTAAAATTAGCTTTAGCTGGATTGACCTCATTTCTCAGAACACACAATACACTAATAATCAAACCTGGCTGGCTTCTTGTAACGCATTAAGCAACATAAAAACTAATCCAAGTTAAAAACTAATTTGATTACTAATGGAGTTTGGCAATTTAAAGCCAAAGTAGTTCCTAACCACCCTTTCTGGAAACTGTGGTGCAAATCAAATCTCAGGCTGATCTCCTCTCCATAAAGAAGGTTTTTTAAAAAATTAAATAACAACCCAGTCCAAAACTATGCTTGAATTGTTCCAGAATTCTTGAACAACAGCAGCATTACAGAGACAGGATTTTTTTAAACACTTTTTAAAGAGCACAGACATGTCCATGTTTACACTATTTTTGTTTCTTGAGTAGACAGTGATGCATTGACTACCTTAGCGTAAAGAGTAGGAATGTATTCATGAGAGAAAACAAGAACTGAAATTACTTTCAACAGCTTACATGAATACTTCCCTTGAACTTGCAGATTTGTATTTATTTTTATTATTACAATGCAAAGCATTTCAGTACACATAAAACTACTGTAGAGGAATATTGCTTTTTTTAAAGGTCATGATAAACTAGAATATGATTTTTCTCTGGATTAAAACTGGTCAAAAAGCAGAGAATTTAAGTGCTTTACCACCTCAGAGTGTTTCTATCTGCAGATCAGTAGAGATGAGATATCCTCTAACTACATTGTAACCTACATGACACATAAAACCAAGGGTTAAATAGTGTGTTTTACTTTAAATGTTAACATTGCACTGTATCTAATGCCACACTTAATGATATACTTCCCTTCAAGCCTATAGGCAGGAATTAAGTCTTCATTTTAATGTAGTAGATTAACTTGCAATGGTGCTGATTAGGAGTATGAGTATCCTAAAATTAAAACCATCCAAAAGCCCTCCAAATTAAGTCTCTGCTTGTAGATAAGCCTTTTCAGCTGTGTTTCTAAAATTTAGTTTCCAATTACATATGTGGGAGAAAACCAGGACAGACTTTCAAGGCACCTGGGTAGTGGGATGGTGGTTAGGAACCATCATGAGGGAGAGATAGAAAATATCAAGATTCTTTCTGCCGTCAGTTTTTCTCTCCTTCTTTTTGCAGACTAGTTTGAGGAGAGAAAGAATTATAGAGTATTGACAGGAAAGCATTCAGAGTGGTCATACTTTTTCAAACTTGCTGAAAACCTTAAGCTTATTGACCTAAGTTGAGGGTATTCATCTCTAATTTAACAGTGTCTATTGCACTCCAAAGAGGAAAAAAAGACAACACTTGGGATGAATTCATGTTTCAGAATATAGCATTTGTTTTTTCATGGGATTATAATGGCCACATGATAACAAATGTTCCTGAAATTTATGGGAAAAACATAGACCAAACAAAACAAGGACCAAACAAAAGCATCAAACCATTTCATAATAAGGTGGATTTAATTTAAATCATTTACCAAAGACCTTCAGTATAGTATTTAAATCTCAATTTAAATGTGTGGAAGATATCATAATCAGTATTTCTTTTATTTTTTTCTGTTTAATATAGTCAGTCTTTAAAGAGAAATACAGAATTCAGAATTAGAAAGCATATATCATATAAAGCAATTAATTAAACAGATCTTGTTCAGATTAATTTTCTTCAAAATGAAATGGTCTTCATTACAAGCAATCAGAGACATACTGATGACATCATTAGAAACTGAGACCATTCCAGTTAAATGAATTATTGATAGATTGAAAGATGTTTTTGCTATGGCACCCCAGGAGAATCATCTTTTTTTAAAATCTGGGTAGCTTTTTCCAACAAAGAATAGAGCACAAAGTAAAAAAAAAAAAAAAAAAAACCACAAGCAAAATTATTTTGAGTGTATTACTTTATTCATAAACTTTTGTAAAAAATAATTTTAGCTAAATTATAAAAACTTCAAATATTGGCAGAATAGTTCAGTTTTATTTTCTTTATTCAAAATCGGGGGGGGGGGAGGAGAAATCAAGCTTTTTTTTCAGGCCCCAATCATTTTGAAATAATTACTCCAAAGGAAGAACACTCTTTTAAAAAATCACCAGAAAGTATTGCTGAAAGTACTTCAGCAATGTTTAAGAGATTTCCATCATATCATCACTAAAATTTTCTTGAAAACATCAACAAACATTTATCTTGAAATTTATCATAATTGATATTGTAGAAAGATAATTGTTCACATCATTAGCAATTCCTCCTGTCAGCAGTTATAATCAACCTTGTTATAACTACTGAGAATAATGTAAAGAAAAAGTTGGAGGTATTGCTTTTCTGTTTATTATTTAAATTATTAAATTTAACTTTCTCATTGTTTATTCCCTTTTTTTCCAGATTACACCCAGTTTCTTCCAAACTTCAACAATATTAGAAATAAAAGTTGTTTCCCCTTATTAAAGATTGCAGAGTAGGCTTTAGGACAGTTATCAAACAGTCATTTTTTTTCTTTTTAGCTCCATACTGAGAACTTTGGTCCTGATAATTCCTATCTGTTTCTTCATCATCTTGTTTAACAATTGCCATCAATAGTGAAATTCTTGATGCAGCACTTCAAACTATCATGTTCCATTAAGTATCTTGTGGGAAAGTTATTAGTTCTTCCTGCTTCATTTGGAGAAGCTACTACAAAGTGAAATAACCAATGAAAAAGCTGTTCTGTCTTAGGATGCAGATAAACACACAGAGATACTGTTGCTATACTGTTGTTATTTACTACAGCTAAGCAGATAACGTAGGCAAGGTAAAAAAATCAATGTCTGTATAAAGAGTACTTGCCTGAATAAATAAATCTGTTTGAAGTTCAAACAGCAATAGTCTGGTCCAAATTCATTCCAGGAATCAAGAGCTGAGTTGGATAGTCAGCTGGTCCAATAGTCAAAGGTTTAAGAATAAAAAGCAGCAAGAACCATAAGCTGGAATACCAAATGGTTCATTTCAACAAAGGCTGAAGGCAAAGGAGTTACATAAAATTGTAACTGCAGGAAGCTAGCTGCAGTTATTCTTTTGATCTTTGCTTTGTGAGGAGTTTCATAGAGTGTTGTTCTGCTTGCCATTTCATGCATCAAGACTTGATGCTTGGGGTCGTGCCTCATCATCCAGTTGCTCCAGCTGATCACAAGATGCCTATGATTGATCAGTCTCCTCAGATCATCATGGTTTGAAGATTCATGAGTCTGACAGCCCATAGACATGTTATCAGAATAGGAGTCAGAGTCTAACCCTAAACCTAACAATAACCCTATTTATGTTTCCATATTCTAACAATAACCCTATGTATGTTTCCTCCTTAATATTTCCAATGTTGGCATTCCAATATCCAATCTTGGTAGTGTATCTTGGTTTCATATTCTGTCACTTTCAGATAAAATGTTATTGTAATATCACAATACTCATCAATTTTATCAATGATTGGAGGATTAATTTGGATAATTTTAATATTAAAGGATTGTCCATGAAAGTCTAATTCTATTTTGTCTTTCGTTGCATCTACCAAAATACAATCCTTGCTATGAAAACAACACTGTTTCTTTTTTCCTTTTGGATTGTGAGTAGCATACAGCATGATTTTTTTGATGGAAATGTCCAATTCCAGTTCATTTCAATTTGCTGATGATCTTAGAGGTCAACATGTAATTGATTTGTTTAATCTTTTCCTGTGTTAAGCTTTCCTATATTCATGCTTCCTTGCAGCTTCAGATTTTATTTTCCAGCATGTCAACATCAGTAAATAAACATCTGCAAGGTTTTGAACTAGCTGTATCATAAGCACTATTAAAGATGTGCAACTCTCAGTCCTTCAGTAGCATGTTGAATACTATCCAACCTGAGTAGTCATCATCCAGCATTATATCATTAATTTATATTGTCTATCCATGTGGTTTTCTTATTAAATACAGGAATTATTTCTCATTGTCTTCTCCAAGGCAGTATGAAATGATATCATTATCACTGCAACCAAATATGTTCATTCAGGCCCAACATCTTTTTATATCATATTATATCATTGCTAGCCCCTGTAGAGGCCTGTTTGCTTTAGTGGGCAGAGGGATGCCCTTCACATGCTGGTGACCCTGGTGGTAATATATAATTTTGGCATACACTTTCAAGGTTCTTTGCTGATTTCCAATGCAAATCAAAATTAAATATGAAATTCATTTTTATAACATGAAAGACATCTTTGAAGCACACATGAATCTTGTTCAAAAATATACAACAGGCCATCACTTTTGATGAAAGAAAAGCAATTTAAAGATACAATATGCTAATTTTAAATTATCCTAAAGGTGCTCATGTTGTTGTTGTTAATTGCGAAGTCGTGTCCAACCCATCGCGACCCCATGGACAACATTCCTCCAGGTCTTCCTGTCCTCTACCATCTTCTGGAGTCCATTTAAATTCACACCTACTGCTTCAGTGACTCCATCCAGCCATCTCATTCTCTGTCGTCCCCTTCTTCTATTGCCCTCAATCTTTCCCAGCATTAGGCTCTTCTCCAGTGAATCCTTCCTTCTCATTAGGTGGCCAAAGTACTTGAGTTTCAACTTCAGGATCTGGCCTTCTAAAGAGCAGTCGGGGTTGATCTCTTCTAGGACTGACCGGTTTGAACGCCTTGCAGTCCAAGGGACTCGCAGGAGTCTTCTCCAGCACCATAGTTCAAAGGCCTCAATTCTTTTGCGCTCAGCCTTTCTTATGGTCCAACTTTCACAGCCATACATTGCAACTGGGAAAACCATGGCCTGGACTATACGCACTTTTGTTGGCAGGGTGATGTCTCTGCTTTTTAGTATGCTGTCTAGATTTGCCATAGCTTTCCTCCCCAGGAGCAAGCGTCTTTTAATTTCTTGGCTGCAGTCCCCATCTGAGGTGATCTTGGAGCCCAGAAAAATAAAATCTGTCACTACCTCCATTTCTTCCCCATCTATTTGCCAGGAATTGAGAGGGCCGGATGCCATGATTTTGGTTTTCTTAATGTTGAGTTTCAAGCCAACCTTTGCACTCTCCTTCTTCACCCGCATCAAGAGGCTCTTTAGTTCCTCTTCACTTTCTACCATTAGAGTGGTATCATCTGCATATCTTAGGTTGTTGATATTTCTCCCGGCAATCTTAATTCCAACTTTTGATTCATCTAGCCCTGCCTTTCTCATGATGTGCTCTGCATATAAGTTAAATAGGCAGGGCGACAGTATACAGCCTTGCCGGACTCCTTTTCCAATTTTGAACCAATCAGTGGTTCCGTGTTCGGTTCTCACTGTTGCTTCTTGACCCGCATATAGGTTTCTTAAGAGACAAATGAGATGGTCTGGTACTCCCATCTCTTTAAGAACTTGCCACAATTTGTTGTGATCCACACAATCAAAGGCTTTAGCATAGTCAATGAAGCAGAAGTAGATGTTTTTCTGGAACTCCCTAGCTTTCTCCATGATCCAGCGTATGTTGGCAATTTGATCTCTAGTTCCTCTGCCTCTTCAAAATCCTGCCTGTACTTCTGGTAGTTCTCGATCCACATACTGCTGGAGTCTAGCTTGTAGGATTTTAAGCATAACTTTACTAGCATGTGAAATGAGTGCAATGGTGCGATAGTTTGAACATTCTTTGGCATTGCCTTTCTTTGGAATTGGAATGTAAACTGACCTTTTCCAATCCTGTGGCCACTGTTGAGTTTTCCAAATTTGCTGGCAAATTGAGTGTAGCACTTTTACTGCATTGTCTTTTAAGATTTTGAATAGCTCAGCTGGAATACTGTCACCTCCACTAGCTTTGTTGTTGCTCAGATTTTCTAAGGCCCATTTCACTTCACATTCTAGGATGTCTGGTTCGAGGTCAGTGACCATCTCATTGTGGTTATCTGGGATGTTAAGCTCATTCTTGTATAGTTCTTCTGTGTAGTTTTGCCATCTCTTCTTAATCTCTTCTGCCTCTGTTAGGTCTCTGCCATTTTGGTCCTTTATCATGCCCATCTTTGCATGAAACGTTCCCTTCATATCTCCAATTTTCTTGAAGAGATCTCTGGTCCTCCCTATTCTGTTGTTTTCTTCTATTTCTTTGCACTGTTCATTTAAGAAGGCATTCTTATCTCTTCTAGCTACTCTCTGGAATTCTGCATTCAATTGGGTGTATCTTTCTCTTTCTCCTTTGCCTTTCGCTTCCCTTCTTTCCTCAGCTATTTGCAAAGCTTCCTCAGACAGCCATTTTGCTTTCTTGCATTTCTTTTTCTTTGGGATGGTTTTAGTTGCTACCTCTTGTACAATGTTGCGAACTTCCATCCATAGTTCTTCAGGCACTCTGTCTATCAGATCCAGTTCCTTAAATCTATTTGTCACCTCTACTGTATATTCATCAGGAATATGATTTAGTTCATACCTGAGTGGCCTAGTGCTTTTCCCTACTTTTTTCAATTTAAGCCTAAATTTTGCAACGAGAAGCTCATGATCTGAGCCACAGTCAGCTCCTGGTCTTGTTTTTACTGACTGTATAGAGCTTCTCCATCTTTGGCTGCAGAGTACATAGTCAATCTGATTTCTATGTTGACCGTCTGGTGATGTCCATGTGTAGAGCCGTCTCTTGGGTTGTTGGAAAAGAGTGTTTGTTATGACCATCGTATTCTCTTGACAAAATTCTATTAGCCTATGCCCTGCTTCATTTTGTTCTCCAAGGCCAAACTTGCCTGTTATTCCGGTTATCTTTTGGCTTCCTACCTTAGCATTCCAATCCCCCATAATGATAAGGACATCATTTTTTGGTGTTAATTCTATAAGGTGCTGTAGGGCTTCATAGAACCGGTCAATTTCATCCTCTTCAGCACCAGTGGTTGGGGCATAGATTTGGACTACTGTGATATTGAATGGTTTGCCTTGGATTCGAATTGAGATCATTCTGTCATTTTGGGGATTGTATCCCAGTATTGCTTTTCCTATTCTTTTATTGACTATGAAGGCTACTCCATTTCTTCTGAGGGATTCTTGCCCACAGTAGTATACCTGATGGTCATCTGAGTTAAATTCACCCATTCCTGTCCATTTTAGTTCGCTGATTCCTAAGATGTCGATGTTCATTCTTGTCATCTCTTTTTTGACTACGTCTAGCTTGCCTTGATTCATGGATCTTACATTCCAGGTTCCTATGGAGAAAAAATCTTCACAGCATCGGACTTTCCTTTCACCACCAGATATATCCACAGCTGAGCGTCCTTTCGGCTTTGGCCCAGTCGCTTCATTCTTTCTGGCGCTACTAGTACTAGCCCTCTGCTCTTCCCCAGTAGCATATTGGACACCTTCCGACCTGAGGGGCTCATCTTCCAGCGTCATATCTTTTTTCCTTTTAGTACTGTCCATGGGGTTTTCATGGCAAAGATACTGGAGTGGTTTGCCATTTCCTTCTCCAGTGGATCACATTTTGTCAGAACTCTCTGCTATAACCTGTCCGTCTTGGGTGGCCCTGCACGGCATAGCTTATAGCTTCATTGAGTTACGCAAGCCCCTTCGCCACGACAAGGCAGTAATCCATAAAGGGGAAAGGTGCTCATATGATCCAGGATATCTGAGCACATGTGAATATAATTTCAGCTGAGGAAATCCTATTGACAGAAAGATACAGACAAGCAAATTGAGCATATATATGAGTTATAGGTATATTCTATCAGGACCTTAGCAAGTTATTATTTACCGTTTCTAAACTATATATGATATAGTTAATAATAATAATAATAATAATAATAATAATAATAATAATAATAATGATAGAAGGGACCTTGGAGATCTTCTAGTCCAATCCCCTGCTCAGGCAGGAAAACCTATACCAGTCCCTTCTTAAAAACTTCCAGTATTGGAATATTCACAACTTCTGGAGGCAAATTGTTCTGCTGATCAATTGTTCTAACTGTCAGAAAGTTTCTCCTTAGTTCTAGGTTGCTTCTCTCCTTGATTAGTTTCCATCCACTGCTTCTTGTCCTGCCTTCAGATGCTTTGGAGAATAGTTTGACTCCCTCTTCTTTGTGGCAACCCCTGAAATATTGGAACACTGCTATCATGTCCCCCCTCGTCTTTCTCTTCATTAAACTAGACATATCCAATTCCAGCAGCCGTTCTTTATATATTTTAGCCTCTAGCCCCCTAATCATCTTTGTTGCTCTTCTCTGTACTCTTTCTAGAGTCTCGGCAAAAACTGATGAGAACATACATATTTCCATATACTCTAGTTCCAAAAGGTGGATATACTTCCAGAGAAATTTAGAAGTCAGGTTGTATCTTCTCCAGTTTTAAGTACATCTGAAAAGATGCTTTGATTTTCACATAAAATCACCTGCTAGTACTAAATATGTTGGAAAATGTAAGGTGAACACTGCAGAAAAAACAGTCTTCTTTATAGCTAGATGTCAATTCCAATTACAAAGTCAGGTTACTATTAGTGTTGTACAGAGGTCAGATCTGAAGGGTAAAATGTGAAATGGAGAATTTGTCAGTGGCCATATAACCCTTGTCAGGACTATCTTAAATTAAATGTGTCTGGTTCATAGGATTATATATCTGGTACAGAAAGTAACAATACAAGCCCATAAAAAGAAGCAGCTGCTTTAAACATTTCCAACAGAAACTACAAACTTTAGTTTTTATTAAAAAATGCCAGTCCCTGCTTTTTCTGGGATTTTTTTTTTTAAGAAATAGAACTAAAAGATAATCATACTAGTCATTCTATACCACTAAATAGATGCCTCCTTGCCAAAATGTCAAGTGTGGATATATTGTTCTGTTCTCAAAAGTCAATGTTATTAAGAGGTTCATCAACATGAAATGTTACACTTCAGGCCTCTTATGATTTTTCTAACAATTTTTTTTGTGTATCACATGGAAAAACCTTTATTGAAATTTTTATTTTTAATTTGCTTATTGCATACTTATACATGCTAAGAGATTTAAATGAAAAATTAAGTGCTGAATTTCATAACAGCCTTCATCCATATGTCTTGAAGAGCATATTTCAGCATAATGACATTGAAATATGACTAGTATCTCATGGCAAAACAAATCTGTGAAGCAATCTACAAATAGCAAGGGATGGGGGAGAGGAGGCCATCTCAAGATAACTGAATACAATGTTTATTCTTCATTTCAAAATGTTTTTACATTCAAAAGTTTACCTTAAAAGCAATACAGAATTGTATTTTGAATAAGCAAATGTACTAGAGATATAAGCAATTGTGACATAGGTTGTCACTTTGGCTGGCTCAGACTTGGCAGAATTTACCCAACTGCTCAAACTGAGACAGATAATAACTATATCATGCATGAGAATGAGGTCACAAATCATTTGGTTCTCCTCTGCAGTAATTAGGATGAAGTCCCATCTTCTACCCTCCAAAGTTTAAATCTGGGGCTTCTTTTTCCCACCTTTTCCACATTTAAGTGGAAATGTAT